AAGAGAGAACGCGGCTTCAATCTGAGATGCAAACTTGCGGTCATCTCGCTCACACCACCCACGCTTTCTTTCCTTTTCCCACAACCTCATCATTCAAACCACCACACATGAGCTCTACACCCATCCCATCCACAGAGGACAATGTCATCCATGGTCTCCAGTATCCTCCAGATTTTCTCTCCTCTCTCCCCGTCCTTCTCCCCCGTCCTGCCCCACATACACCCATTCGCGGTCTCTCTGCGTCCCAGTTCGCAACCATCCACCATGCCGCTACCACATCCCATGCGCCCGACCACGTCCTTTTCCCTTTTCTCCATGGTCTCGAAGGCAACAATGAACAACAAAAGGCCTTCTTCTCCGTCACTTCTGACACCCCCGTAATCCCACCCCGCTTCCGTGGTCTAATTTGGGTCGCGTGTGAGGACGACGATACTCCCTCTAGCGACGACGGTGACGAGTTGGACGTCCTTACTAGTGATGATTCTGATGACGAGCCTGGGAGTGATGGTGGCGACTTTGGACATTCGTTTGGGTTGGACATTGACATGGACATAGATCCTGACCTTGAACTCAATCATAGCCACAGGCCAGAAGCGTCTAATTCCTTAACTTCGACCACGACCACCCCTTTGCCTGGGTTTGTTGACCCCGCTCACGGCCTCTCAGACCCAGGCCATGCGACTCATATGCACCCAATACAATGCCGTGCCCCACGCATATACACGAACACTGCCACGGTACGCGACCGAAGTGCCTCGTCCAGTTCGTCCTCGTCTTTCCAGTCTCTTAGTGTGCCATCACCGCCCACCCCGGCCACCTCACTCGACTCGCCTCCGCCTTCATGTTTGCCCCTCGGGCCGCCCTCCCCTGAACCTCAGCCCCGTAGTGCCCCTCTCATCGCCTCTGGTTTCAGGCCTCGGGAGCTTCTCCAACTTAACATAGCTGGAAATGCTGAGTTTGTCCCTCTGCAAGTTCCCGACGGTATTTCACTGCGCAATTTTGATATCCAATTGGTACGTGTCGTTCTCTATCCCTTGTTGGTCTCGCCCTCCCCTCTGTGATTCAAGCCGTTCATCTCCGCTGTTCCTTCTTGAGAATGGGCTGCTCGATTCGTCATTAATCTATATGAGCGCCTACGTTACCCCAGAAGGTCAGGTGACCACTATCGGGGAGGTGTTATGTTTATTTTCTGGGATGTTGTCCGATGGCTATTGACAAGTTGGCTGCCTTCGTGGTCATCTGTCAACGTTCTCCCGTCGCATCATGCACATGATGCGGTCAATATGCCATTTTAGGCAGTTATCCGTTCCTCGCGCCACATCCCCGAAAGGGAACAAGACTACGCCGCCGTGGAGCCCCTGTTCCCAGGCGACGATCGGTTTTAGTGTTTTCCTGCGTGGAGCGGCTTACTCTTCTCTTCCCCCATTCCCCCGAACCTACTTTGTTTTTGGCTATTCTAATCCGTGTTTGCTCGAACTCTAGCCAATTTATGCAACCCTGTCGGACATCGTCGTTTACTCCCGCCGAGGTGCAACCAGGGCAGCCTTCGCTGTGGCAGAGAAGTTCAAGCAGGCCATTGAAGCGCGCGCTGGTTCTCGAATCCCATATCATGTTTTCGTACTTGATGCCACCCCCGCAGAGTTACGCACCAAGCTGAAACATCTTCTCGTCGGTCCACGTACAATCAACTTTGCACAGCGTGAGAAGGACGAGATGCGAGAGCTGACTCGCGCCAGTGAGATCCTCACGGCCCGTTCCGCTGACCAGGATGACAAGTCTGTGGACATTCACCCCTGGACTCCTGGCCTGGGTCAGGTCTTCCTCGGCAATGTCAACGATGTACCATTCTTCCCTGGCAACCCAGATGACCGTTTGACCCGAGGCATTGATCTACTTGACAGTGCAGGCAATTCACCTGCAGATGGGATGGGCTACGATGTCTGCATCGAGTGTCGACTGCGGGCGCCACGACCCGCCCTCGGCTTTCTCCTCGGGGCCCAGGAACACCTCATGGAACTCGAGCGGCGTTGGCAGGCTTCTGGTGGGAAAGGGCCACGGCCTCCGCCGAATGCCGCGGCCATAGTGTACCTTCCGTTCCCATTGCTCCCCATTGTCGACGAAATGACACTGTTCCTGGAATTCCTGGAAAAATTACTGAAGCCTAACCAGCAGCGCGGGTTTGGGCGACCTGCGAAGATACTGATTTGGAGCTCAGACGGATATACTGAGAGCAGTGTACTCGCTCTGTCATTGATCATGGCGATGCGTGGTGTGACCCTTCCAGAGGCCTATCTTGAGCTCCAGGTGAGCACTTTAGGGTGCATATGGACCATCGATGGTTGAACGATTTTTCATATAGGTCACAAAGAAACGCAGCTTCTTCGTCTATGAGACTGATGTTCGGTTACTGAAGACCGTTGAGAGCCGGCTAGTACGAGAGCGCCGCGCAAAGTTACCCTCTCCCCGTCGTTTCCTTTCCGGACCCGCGCGTGCGAATTCTCTCAACGCCGATGTCAACTCGAGCGCAATGTCCGCGTCCTACGAAGAGACTGGAAATGCTCCCATCGTGTCAATGCGACGGCCACGTGCAAGCACAAGCCCGTTGTTACCTTCGCTTGTGGATGACCATCAAGTCTGGTTTGATGATCCGCGCTTCGACGGGAGTTTCCCAAGCCGTGTATTGCCATTCTTGTACCTCGGAAACCTGTGTGTATCCCCCCCTGCGTTCCCCCACTAAGTTCCTGATCTCAGATCGATCCCGTAGAAATCACGCAGCAAATGCGTATATGCTTCATGCTCTTGGTATCACGCATGTAGTCTCAGTTGGGGAGTGCGCGCTCATTCCACCTCCCACTTGTTCTTCTGCCGGAACGGCTGTTACTCCTAACGCAACAAAAACGCCTAGTTCCATCGTAATGGATGGCTCAGAACGGCGGGGTAATCTGTACACCGAGGAGCGCGAAGGCCGCATTAAGGTTCTTGATATTAAGGGCGTATGCGACGACGGCATCGATACGCTCGAGCCTCAACTGGCCCCAATCTGTGAGTGGATCGACCGGGCGCGCGAGCAAGGTGGGAAAGTACTCGTGCATTGTCGCGTAGGCGTGTCGCGCAGTGCAACTGTCACGATCGCATACGTCATGAAGCACCTCGGGATTTCCCTCGTCGAGGCCTACCTCATTGTACGCTCCCGCCGACTGAGCGTATTAATTCAGCCAAACATGCGCTTGTTATATAATCTCTGTGGTTGGGAGGTAAAGCTCGCGCAAGAGCGTGCCGCGTGTGATACGGAGCGCACGCGGACGGAACTTGCACGTTGTATCAATTGGCCTTACCTCGCGCGTGAGGTGCACCTCCTCAACGAGAAGTACTTGCATACGTGAGACGCTCATCACAAGTATACTGACGGTGGCTCGTTACTCTACCTCTCTTCCTTTCCCACTTTTATGTTTCGCAGTCTGCTTTTTTAGCCTCGGTCCCCGTCCCCGATATTTGTACCATGCGTTTTAGTATTTCCTACTTCAGCATCCCCCCTGCACACCTACATTCACACTGCACAAAATACACCCATCCCCCTCTCACTCGTACCCTCTCACTCCCATGCATAGTCTCCGCGTATAATGGGTCATTCCACCCGTGGCGGTCGCACACTGATATCTCTGCCGCTTTGACCCCTTATGTTGATACACTGATGTTGTACGTCTACTTATTATGTACTTTGTGTTATTGGCTGTACATCATTTGTGATTTTATGTGCAGAGAGGTCCAGAGCCAGATAACTCATGGCTTAAAATTGTGGCACCGCCGCCGCGGGTATTTCCAGTAGTTACTATTCTTGGTGGCGGGCAGACTGATGCGACGAGCAGCCATTAGCCTCCGCGCCATACATCAGCTTTGTGCAGAGACTATGAGTGCCACGTCATTACCCTCGTCAGAACGCATCGCAGAGCTGCGCACAGCCCTCAGTGTGATCCGCAGTCGTGTCGCTGCCGTGTCCAACTCGTCGCAACGCACGCCAACTCTCGTGGCCGTATCCAAATACAAACCGGCGGAGGACGTGCGTGCATGTTACGACGCGGGCCATCGTGACTTTGGCGAGAACTATGCGCAGCAGCTCGTCGAGAAGGCCGCTGTGCTGCCGCTTGACGTGCGATGGCATTTCATCGGCACAGTGCAATCGAACAAGGCTAAAGTACTCGCAGGTGAGTATTCCCATTCCCCCCACTCTTCCTCCTCTTCTTCCTGTGACTGACGACGTGGGGGCGCAGGTATCGAGAACTTGTACACCGTGCAGACGCTCGCGAGCACCAAGCTCGCCGACGCGCTGAACCGGCACCGTGCGGCGGAGCACGCACCGCTGCGCGTGCTCATCCAGCTCAACACATCGGGGGAGGAGGCCAAGGGCGGGATCGCCGTGGGCGAGGAGGAGCGGCTCGCGCAGCTCGCGGCGCACGTCGTGCGTTCGTGCCCGCGTCTGCGTCTCGTCGGGCTCATGACGATCGGCGCGGCCGGAGGTGGAGAGCAGGATTTTGCGGCGTTGCGCGGCGCGAGGGATAGGCTGGTGAGCGCGTTGCCGGATGATGGCGTGTGGGGAGAGGACGTGGATGTAGAGAGGGGTGGTGGGGAGGGAGGTGACGTCGGGCGACGTCGGGGGAGGCGGTTGTTGTTGAGCATGGGTATGTCGCACGATTTTGAGCTGGCGCTGAAGGCAGGCGCGGATATTGTACGCGTTGGAACGGGAATTTTCGGTGCGCGTCCGCCAAAAGAGGAACAGTCTTAGAAATTTAGCTATCTGTGAATCATTGCGAATGATGGTGATGATAGCTCAATTCAATGCGTGTTCAACAGGCATGCCGTATCTCACGATCCATGTCCAGATGTATGGATCCACACACTAGTCATGATCAGTGTCGTCATTGGCGTTCAAAGTCTGCCACCAAGTTTTGCACGACGTGTTGTGAGAGGCAAAGAAAAGTGAGAGATATTGCATGCCAAAAAAATGCCAGGACCGTGGATTGAACACGGGACCTCCAGAATGCTTTACTTCTTCAGTCTGTTGCTCTCCCAGCTGAGCTACCCCGGCACGCCAGAAGCTGATGATGACAATCACTTCATTCCTGTGCGCATTGCCTTTTTTCACCTGGCTAACCCCTTCATACCCTACACCACACCACCCCTAATGTCACTGCCATGTTTTCACCATATAAATTGTTCCGTACAAGTCAAGAACCAAGGACATGCTCGAGTCTGACCCCGAGGGTATGGCCGGAAATATGACAGGAATGCCCCGCGATGGACTAGGTGCACTCCTGCACGGAATGAGCAAAAGATTTGATATGCCACGATTGAATTGTGAGTCAGTTTGTTCTCCGCCTCGTCAGTAACGGTTCTTGCGGGAAGTATACTTGCATACTGTTTAGTGTTCATTACTTTCTAAGGTACGTCAACGTTTTGACCGAGAGGTTCCATGCACGCTTTGGTCTTTCCATTTCTTCCGGCTTCTTCCATTCTCGTTCATACGTTCTACTTGCAAAATCTTCGATGGCAGTTAGGTGTCTCCCTAGTTGACGGGCGTGTGAAGTGCTATCTCCCATATTCTAAGCCTTCCTGGGACTTTCAACTGGCTGCGTTGCTAACTGTACTGCAGGGATCTTCTTATCTTGCCGAGCAATGTTGAACTCTCTGGTATTCCACGCAGGAATCACATGCTATTCTCATTTCCGAGTGATGATGAACCTCACAGTGACCCCCTCCACTACCTTGACTGTGACACTAGTTCGTTACCCCCCCGATTTTCACCCGCCACATCAGCCCTCGGCCTCTATCCACTACCCAATACTCAATAGCACCTCGGAAACCGCTCTTACTCGTGGAATAACTGAGAACAGCCGGGCAGGCGACGAGCGCGCATGCCCTTGGCCCATTAATGCGGAGATATGGCGGCCACGGAGATGAGAATTGGCCAAATCGTTCAATGTCACGACACAAGCTTCATTTCACCTTGAGACACGTAAGTTTTGCCCACTGAAGATGTAAATGCCATTCATTGCAAGTCAGGACCCGACCTTGCAAGATCAAGGTGGCAAAATCGACTTGAGCGAAGACCCCCGAACGCAGTCAACGTTCCGGGCCCCGTAGCTGCACATCCATTGACCTGTTTCTTGAAAAACCTATCCCCTTTAAGCGGGTGATTCGATTTGCGGCTCTTGATTTTTCGGGATTTTCACTCATCGCTAAGCTCCCACTTCCATGGACGGTCTTGATAGGCTTCGAGACTCTACAGCCTCGCTGGGATGCACCGTGATGGTAGCGAGATCAACTCTCAACGCAAGAATTCCCATCCTCAGGGTTAGTCTTGACCTCACTCCTCGGGTCAGACTTGCACCTCTGCCATTCACTGTGTTCTGGGGAAACATGAAGGCGACTAACTCGAAGCAGCAGAGAAAATTCATCCAATTATATCGGCAAAAGCCGTGGGATTCGAATCCCCAACGCGATGAGAAGAGTACTGTATCTGACGGCCTTACCCTATTTACCACGCCCCGCCAACGTGGCAATCTCACACGACCAACGTTTTACCCTCATTTTACAACTTATTTCAACTAGCTTCAGCTTGCGATGAATGCGTCTCTACAGTACCCCCATTCTTCTCTCAGAGGCTGAGACATCACCCACGGCATATTCCTAACGTTATCGTTATTTTACTTGGGTACCATGTCTTCTGAATCATACCAAGATACTGGCGCGCCTCGTATCAAGCGTAAGCCACCGCCACCATTTCCGTACTCTGCGCGCTACCCCGAGCCAGATCCAAGTGACCCTTTTGCCTCGCTTTCGGTCCTCCGAGATCGCACCGCGACACTCACCAACTTAACATACGAACCCCCTGTTGCGATACCGGACCCAACCCCTTCTAGGGTGCTTGACCTCACCACGTTCATCACGCACCAGCGCAAGAGGTCTGCTGCGCCCGGATCCTCACCTGGGAAAAGCGGTTGGCAAGGGTATGCCTCCCAGCTGCATAAAGGAGCTTCTATGGGCCTTGGCTTCCACGAATATTCGCCAGGTATTGGCCCATCAGTGGCGACAATTACTTCCACGACACTACGCCCAGGTGCCAGAGAGATACAACGCCACAAGACGCGGCGTCGTTCACAATCTGTGTTTGCGCTGCGACCAGGCACATTTTCCTTCCTTGAATCTCGCGCTGGAAAAGAGCCCCAGTCCAACATGGAATTACTTACCAGGCGGCACTCACTGTCTCCGTATGGTAGCCGTGCGAGTGTACTCACATCCTCTTCTACCTCATCGAGGGAGTCTACGCATGGGGAACGGAGGGTGGGTGGTCCCTCGCCACGACCACGCTCTTGCAGCAGTTCCTTTGTGTCCGCAACTTTATTTGATGGTGTACCCGAACATATTGGCGATGGAGTGCCGTTACACAAGAATATGCATGTCATGCAAGTTGACATGCCTGCCATTCGGGGCGCGGAGAAGCGTTCAGAAAGTCCTCCGCAAGTCCTGCCTCCACCCCTCGAGAAACGAAGCCCTTCCGTATCCTCGATTGGTTCATGGTCCCGCGACCTTGTCTTTTACTCTGCTCCTTCTCGCCCACAGACTCCCAGTTCTATTCGAAGCAGTCGTCCTGCCTCCTTACCGCCGTCCGCCATGCTTTCATTTCCCGCTGTACCTGTCAACCTCCCACCTGCTAAGCCAGCACTCTTCACCACTTCACCCGTGACGTCCTCTGATTACAAGGCCACTCCGATTCCAGCAACCTCTCTCCCACCCAACATTTCCAACTCCCACAGGGTATCCACGACACCAGAAGTCTTAGATATCTTCCCTCTTCAGCCTAACTTTCGATTCCCGAGGAAAGAGCAATCAGCTGAATCGGAACCGGAATCCGTTGAGCGTGAGAGTGGGCGCTTCGCCAGGCTGCGGGCACGTACATCTACGGCGTGGCAAGCGCGGAGAAGTAGCACCTCATCATCGTTACGAAGCACATTGCGAGCAGCGGCGGAAGCCGCAGATAAGCTTGCTGCTGAGGATGCGTCCATTGCTGCACCTCCAACTGTCACCTTGCCTCTCAAGGTCACACGAACGCTGCCCGTCGTGTCCGAGGCGATGTCGCTTACTGCGAGCACTTCTCCCGAGCCGAAGGAGGTAGAGAGGTGTCAGCGCATAGGAGTGCAAAGTAGAGGCAGGGAGTGCTGTACTGAGGAATCGGCTCCCTCGTCTTCCATGACGCATACATTCCCACAACAGAACATGGACGGTGTCCTCGTTGTCTCACGGACCCAGGATGCTGCGGATTCTGTGCAGCGCAGTGCTCGGCCTGAGGTGAAGGCAGAGCCGGAGTCTGCAAACCGACTAAGGAAGCGATTACCATCTCGGAGCTCTCACAAGGCCACAGCTAGACGCAGCTCCTCAACGCCACTACCATTGTCGCGCCCCCTGCCCAGTCCACCAACTATTACCACTCATCCAGAGCCCATAGTGAAGCTTTCATCTCTGCCTCTGCCCTCCCCGCGTGGTCATGGCTTGTCACATACCCAAGTTCAGCGTTTTTCTCTGTCACAGACGTCATCGATGCGCGGTACGCCACAACCAATTTCGCATGTTGTTCATACAGGGCCGTCTGCAATGTCCCACACCGGTCTATCTGCAGGTGCAGCTCTGCCGCGTGTTGTACATGCGCCTACTCTGCCAGTTCCGTATACTTCCCAATCCATAACTTCATCAAAAAACTATCTTCCTCCCCTTCCATCACCTCCGCGTTCCGTACAAACGATCCCAACGCAATCACGTACGGTGCAGGCTTCATCCTCGAACACCATGCGATCGATGTCTTCAAATTCCTCTCATGTTGACAACCTGTCGACGGCTTCTGCCCCTCAATCGTGGCGCCGCGACGCCTCGCCCTCATCTTCACACGGCCGGCATAGCTCTCATACGTTAGAGCGCCATGGACTTCATCACCATCACCCCTACTACCATGCGCACCCTCGCTCGTTCTCGGAGCCAGAAACAGGAGGACTTTTGAACTCCACACAGCTCACGCAAGCCGCACAAATGCCTGTCGTGCGCGAAAACGGCGTACGGGTCCAGTTCGGTGAGCTATGGCGTACGCAACGTACTGTGGCGATCTTTATCCGACATTTCTGGTGCATCAGTTTCTCGTTCGAAAGTTATGCAAGGGTATTAACTACGTCACATCACGCAGGTGCCCAATGTGTCAGGACTACCTCGCATCGGTCATGCGCGAGGTTGATCATGCGGCACTCTTTCGATCCGGCGTACGCCTTGTCGTGATCGGATGTGGCTCGTACGGACTCATCCGCTCATATCGTCGTGCGCCTATTTTTTGTCATCTAATTGACGGCGTCCATCTAACGACTATCTCACAGAAATCTTTCGTCTTCCCTATGAATTGTTCGTCGACGCGTCTCCAGGGCAGATGCTGTACCGAGCACTTGGCATGGGCCACGTCCTGTCCGGTATACAGAAAGGGCGCAGCTCGGCGGAGCATGGAGTAGGATCATACGTGCGACATGGTGCAGTGAGCGGGTTAGCGATGGTCGTTGCTCATGCATTGCGCGTTGGTATGCCTGTGTGGGAGCGAGGTGGGGACGCCTCGCAACTTGGTGGAGAGTTTGTACTTGGCCCAGGGTAAGCCCTCTTCCCCCCCTTTTCTTTTTTATATGTGATGTCTGACCAGTTTCTAGGCTGACCTGTACGTACGTACATCGGATGCAAAGCACGGCCGGCCACGCACCAATCGTGGACGTCCTCGTCGCCGCAGGGGTGCGTGGGGCGAGGAGGGTTCCCGGAGCAGGGCCGGGGCCGGGGCCGGTCGCCGCTACTGGGACCGTGCGACCGAATATCAGTCTCCCGTTGGAGCGTGGGGCGGGCGGGCGTGATCCCAAAGTGCTGTCTGTTGTGCGGGAGGAGGCGTGCGGCGCGTGCGGCGCATGCGAGGGGTGCGCAGAGGTTTTGAACATCGGCCTGGAGCCTACGGCGTCGGGCGAGTGGAACGTCGTCGTGACGGGCAACACATTTTGAAATACTAGCGTGGGTGAG